TATGTAGGAAACTCCTTAAGTATATGAATAATATGCCACTGGACAAAGAACAACATGGGCAATGGTCAACCAATTCTAATTCAAGTTTGTTGAATGTTTGTGGTTTTTTCAAAGACAGCTAAAATAAATTCAAGACCAAAGAAGATCTGGCAAACATTAAAGTTTGTTATGAGTACTTTGAGCTATAAAAGTTTGAGGTGCATTGCTATCCTTTGGCAACACAAAGTTGGTTATGCTACAGGTTTAATCTCATACCTGTTTTCTTACTGACTTCATTGGTGAGTCTGCAGTCTATGAAATGGATTAATTTGAAATATGTGTTAATGAGGGGCAGTCTTTGTGAGTCTCAAATCTATTTGACTGGCACTTACCCTACTGATCTCTCTCCCATCTAACCTTCACAGGTTATAATGAACCCTAATAAGTTCATTCTTTGTAGTTCATTTATATGTCTTGAAGACATGATTCTTCCAGCTCATTTTTCTGATATGGTAAGCAATTCAGGGATTTTGCATTATATCTTTCACTTTGTAAATAGGAATAGCTACACTGAATTTCCTACCTATTCATAGTTCTCGGATGTATTTTAAACACAGATAGTATGAATGTAATGCTGGGTGATTGGATTCTTCTCCACTATTTTTTTTCATAACTTCTGAATGCCTTTTGCTTACCTGGCTGTAATTTGTACTTCAGGCATTTGTTGTGAATCTAGAAGGACAATGTATGCAAGGTACATTTGATTGTGCTATAAATCTTTAGAAGAGGGAATATGATGCTTCTGGTTTATTTGTGCTACCCATAAACAGAAGGAAAACTTACAAGATCACTGAACATCAATGGCAGCTGGCAATACTTTCACATAGAATTTTTTGAAATCATAATAAATTTATAACATTGCTATGTTTTCCAGGTTTGCTTGGATTTAGTTATTGATTCCTATATATTATGGGCTGATCTTTCACATAGTCCAGGCTCATCAATTTTGGATCTCTGGACTGTGAAAGGCAGTTTTGCTAAATAGAATTTTATTCTGTGCAATATTTCCATTAAATCTCATTAAGGTCCAGGAATAAAAAACTGGGCGTGTTCTCATTTTTCTAATAAGTAAGTCATGTATACTTCAGATTTTTATTTTAAACCCATTTATCCACTGGACTAATCTATACCTTGGAACTTCTTTGTAATTTAGAACTACCCATGGCTCTAAGGAACTGAAAGGCTAAAGGAAGAGAGCAAATCCTTTAAAGCAATGACTTGATAGTTATTTTTACATCACCTTGTAATCACATTGTTAAACACACTATTATTAAAAAAAAAAAAGATGTATATATCTACTGGTATGAAGTATCAGCAGAAAAAATGCCAAAAACCCCAAAAAAATGCTAAAAAACCAACTTGTTTGAAAAAACAAGTTGTCATCTACAAATTTCCTAGCCTTGTGTTTTGTTTTTAGTAAAATCAGGATGAGAAATACTACTATTCTTTAAAAAAAATAAATTGGTTAAAATATTGACAACCCTCAAATTTTATTTAGGAGTGTACAAACAACCATTTTGTCACCAAAGAAAAACAAAATTGACATGTCATCTGTGGAAAACACTAGAAATTATTAATAGTAGGGTTGCACAAAATATCTATAGGATATTGTATAGCAAGTAATATGAGAATCTCATAAATTATAGAGATAAGAGACACTTTCCCTGAAGATTTAAAAAATCATAACAATAGAAAGAGCTTGTCTAGCTCATATAGTTATACTTAAAATGTATTTTATATGTATCAGTTTATACTGATTGAAAAATCATCACTTCTTTTATGTTGCTGAGTAATTAATGCTGATTGTTAGTCTCAGCCCATTGATTTAAAAAATAAACACATTGCTACAGTTTGCAGTATTGAACCGGTATAACTTGATTTGTCACTGAAGTTTCAGAATGTGTTGTAAATGACATAGATTGCCATCATAAGGTATTCAGTATTGAAAGTAAAGATAGGTGTGATTTGCTGTCAGTCAGCACATTTGCTGAGAGCAAAACAAATCTCTGAAATAGCCATGGTTATAAAGTAGAAAATGTGCTAGTAGAAAAAAAAAACAAGTTTAAAAATTCTGTAAGGAATCATAAAATGACAGTTAAACATCATGATTCAGAATTGTAAACACAAGTGGCCAGTATCATCACATTCTATTTAGAAAGGCAGAAATAGTCAGTAAATTATGTAGTTGATTATTGTACTCATTCATCTGGGGATTGCTGAGGCCCCAGCAATATAGTTCAATATGAAAGATTTGTTATTGTTTAGACCAGGTTGTAAAATCTATTGATTGTCCATATGCAGCATGACTTATTCTTTGAAGTAATATTTGTGCACTTGTTAATAGGATACTGCAGCCATGGATTGTAAAAGGCATTTTAGATCACAGACTTTATGGTTTCCATCTAGGAAAAGTAATAATAAAAAAAGCTTTAATATTCTTCACATTCTAGTATTTTAAGCCATCTAAACCAAGAATCAATTTTACTTAATTTTTTTGTCTTCGCTTTTCTGGGCTGCTCCAGGATTTTATATGAAGGAGTGTCAAGTCTGTGATAAGTAGATATCTAGAATATAGTTCAGTAGTCTCAGCACAGCCATCTAGTACCATTTTAAATGCAAAATGTTTATAAAGAGCGTACAGATATGACATAACACCTGCAAAATATACATGCTCTGTTGGACAGGGAAATAAAAAATAGCATCTACCATTAAAAATGCTATCAAACACTCTTAGGGGACTAAGTAAAGTTTCTGTAGTAGGACTGCTTGTTCTTTCCAGTCCTTATTTTCCCCAGTAAAAATGAGATGTATTATAGTTAGATATGTAATAATTTAGGGCTGTAATTTAGTTTCCTGTGTTCCTGTGCCTCCATGGGAGCTGGATGTACGAACTGCTTGTTCAGCTGGTGGAGGTCTCATCCTTGCTTCAGGTGCCTTAAAGTGGGTGTCTTGATAAATTTAATGTACCCTGTCTGATTTGTTGTGCCTCATTGTCTGCTCCAGAAGGAAACGGGTCTCCTGTAGCTCAGGGGTGAGGTGTGAGAGGCTGGTGGAGGTGCTGGGAGCTGCAGAGGTACTCAGCTGGCACTATTGCATGTTAACCCACAGGATAAACCCAAGAGGCTTTTTCTGTGTTGAAAAGGTCTCCATTGGTGGGAACATAGTTTCATGAAGGGTACTGACTTTAGGAGTAGGACTTTTGAAACAAATTAATCTCCTTGATTTTTGACATTGTCTCTTTGGCATTATGATATTTGGCATCTATGCATGATTATAGTGAAATTCACTTAAGGAGAGGTTCACAAGTGTATGTGACATAGCAATAAAAAACCCCAAAAAACCCCCAAAAAAACCACACAAGTGGGGATGCACTTTCTGACTCTTTACTGTAAGCTGTCAACACTTTTTTCTTACTTGTGTGAATGCTAGAAGAATAGAAAAGAGAACAGCAAATTAAATTTTAGACTGGTGTGAAATACGAAACTAAGACTTATAGATAGCAGAGGAATGATTATGATTTAGAAGCATGTATCTCTTTTTTATTGGAGAAAAGAGAGACTGAATACAAAGTATATGTGATCTTTTCACAAAGCGTGCCATTTCAAAATCTCTGCAGTTAGCAAGAATCCTTTCACTGACCTAAGCAAACTTTTTATCATAATATAAGGCACTTAGGTGTAGGTATTTATTAAATATGTGGTAGCCAGTCTTGGTTTTTTTAGCATTTATTTTCTATTACACCTTTCATTCAGTGACTGACCAGCAGACTTCAGATTGCTTCAGAAATTGCTTGACATGGTTTCATACAATTTGATTCTGCCTGTATTTAACATCACTGTTTAGACAGTATTAACTGTGCTTCATGCTTTTCCTTACTTTATTTTTACAGTCTTACTTAAAAATGAATGTGAAAAAAATACATAAAAACTTGTAAAACTTGAAATAAATGTTACTGAGTTGTAGCCATTCAGTGTATAAAATGGGTTAATATTTGTAATATGTTTTTCTGTGTTTCTATTCTCAACTCTAAGCCAAGTTTCTTTTTGATCCATATATTGCTTCATTGCCTTCCCTAAAGTGCAACCTGCTCAGGCAGACCTAGGGAATTCCTCAATGTAAATGCTCTTTTTCTATTTTGAAAACTGGTGTTTTTACTTACCTGCAAATCATAGAGCAAGTCAGAAGAGGATATTTTTCCAATATACTTAAACTGCTTTATTACATACTACTTGGTGTATTTAAGGATTACCACCTTAAGTGTGAAATGCAAGTTTGTCCATTCAGGTTTTATTCATTATCCAGTTCTGGAGGTTCAGCAAGGGATTATCCCTCAGTTCCTGAGGAAAACAGTTCTTGACCATACCAATTGACAGAACAAACAGCACTGGGTAAAATCATACTCTCGTGTGTTTGGAACATCTGCTTCCTCTGGAAGACACAAAATAAAAACTGATATTTAAGAGTTATTAAGTTTTAATAGAATTGAAGAGTTGTTTATATTGTTTAATGTTAATTTTGCCCATCCATTTAGGATGGTAAGAGGAATGACTTGGAGTTCCTGAGAGCATTCAGCTGTTTATTGCAACTTGCAAAATGAGTCATGAGATGAGAAAGCTCATGTGTTTATATACATAGATAGATACAATAGGACTTTGCTGTATTTTGTAATTTAATAATGAAGCTTACAGTTATTTCCTTTTATATTTTTTTTAGGTTGTGTTTACTGTAACCTGCAAAGAAAATATGGACTATTAATTGTGTTGTAACATTACTTGTAAGGTTCTTCCTTATATAGAATAGACAGTTGTAGTTTGTGAGAAGTTTGTCTCCTCAAAAATTCTAATGCAAAAGTTAATTTGGGATATATGTAAGTTGTCCTAATGTAATTGTTTTATGTTCTTATTCTAATTTCTTTTTTAACTTTAAAATTAATGATTGATTGTTTGGATGATTTATTGCAGAAACCTTTGAAATGCTCATCAGACTGGCTGAGAATTACACAAGCACACTTTTCTGCAATGAGTATAGAAACATGGCTGCTGAGGCTACTGTGCATGTGCAGGAGTTTTTCACAGATGTTGGGCTCTTCTTATTTGGCACAGATGTCAGCACAGAGGAATTTGTGAATAGATTTTTTGACACCCTGTTTCCAGTAGTTTACAACCATGTGATTAATCCTGGTCCGGCTGACATTTCCCTGGAATATGCGGAGTGCCTCCGAGCGGCGAGAGGAGACATCGGGCCCTTTGGCAACGTTCCCAAAAAGGCCGTAGGACAAATGGGAAGATCACTCTTGCCCAGCCGGACTTTCTTGCAGGCTCTGAATTTGGGGATTGAAGTGATCAATACAACAGATCACCTGCGCTTCTCCAGAGACTGCAGCAGAGCTTTGCTGAGAATGCAGTAGTGCCCCCACTGCCAGGGGCTGACGCTGAGCAAGCCCTGCATGGGCTACTGCCTCAGCATCGTGCGGGGCTGCCTGGCTGGTGTAGCAGAGGTTGATCTCCACTGGCAGGGGTACCTCCAGTGCCTGGAGGAGCTCTCGGGAGCCCTGAGCGGAGCACACGGCATCGCACACCTGCTGCTGAACTTCCAGTCCCTTCTTCGTGACGCTCTGGAACAGGCTCGGATCAACGGGCCGGAATTATCTGAGCAGGTGAGATGCTGATTTTATCCACACTTGGGGCAAACATGACAGTAGGAAAAGTATTGCTGGTAGCTGTTACTTGTTTGACCATTTTTAGGGCAAGGAACACATTTGTATCTGAATCAGCTTTACTTGACTAAGCAGTTTCTGGGAGCACAAAAAATACTTTTCATGAACACAAGAAAGTTGATTGTTATCTGGTATGCACATTATGATAAATGTAAACAATCCTTATTTTAGATACCAGTGGCCTGCCTTAAAGGACCTATGACTTTGTATATATTATTTCCATAATTTTGGAAATTGGTATGTTTCAGAGGAAGCAGCACAGTTCATTTGTAACATGAAATAAATTCTTTCTTACACTTAAGAGAAAAAAAAAAAAGTTGTGTGAGAGCTCTGTTAGCTGTGAATGTGTGAAGAATTTTAGGATACTGGTATAGAAAGTAGACACTATTTAACTACACTTTAGTGAAAAAAAAAAATAGTATATATGCTAATTTATGAGGGTAACTACCAAAATCCAAATTTTTCCTGTATTATATTTAATCCACTTTTTTTTTTTTTTTTATTCTTACATGCAGACTTCCCTGACAGCGGCATATTCTGTATTAAGTACTGGATTGGATAGCTTGGTTTGAGGAGATGCCTTTAGTTTTATAGTCCAGCCTAAAGAGGGTGTCCAAGTGTCCCTGTGCTGTGACATAAACTGAGGTGAAGGAGCGCTTCTAAGACTGCCTCAGTACATGATTAGCTGAAGTTAAAGCAGTGTTTTCTGTTCAGTAGCTGGCATTACCTCTGCTTAAGCTTGGCTTAATATCGTAAATAGAGTTTTTTTCATTTCTTACTAAGACCCAGAGTCTGATAAAAGGGGTTTTTCATCCTGCTGTAATCTGTGAATAGCAGGGTTCATTTCTACAAATGTCCCACTATATCTGCTTTAGACCAGCTAGCTTCATGAGCCATAATATCCTGCTGCTCAAATTCCTTGAGAAAAGCTGTCATTTTTTTTTTTTTTTGAAAACGGTTTTTCACTGACATTTTGACTCAAAAGTGGTACACTGATATTCAGTTATTTCAGACCTACAATTGCCTTTTAGGGAAATATCCTGTTGTTCCTTTGATTTCTGTGGGATCTTCTATGCCTAGCATTTTCAGGAACAAGCTAGAACAAGCAAGTAAGGTTCAAGTGAAGGACTTGTGTTTCCTATTTCATCCTGTGTCATTTAATTTGAAAAGTTTTAGACTTGGATTTTCAACAGTGAAGTTTCATTGGCCCAGACTTCAAGGTCTCTCAGCACATTCATGTTTTCAAAATGGAAGTTTTTACAGTCTAAAATAGTATATTTCACTGAATTTTAGTAGAAAATTAAATGGGTGAAGAGCCCTCCACTTAGTGTTTTTGCTTTAGGAAAATTCCACATTGATCCAAAATATGGTACTTTAATTTGATATTCCTGAAAACTTGATGCCTTCCTTCTCCCCATCCTTCATTCAATGTAAGGGATACTAAAATTTCTTATGTAATGATATTTGTTGCCATTGTGCTTGTTCGAAGATCATGTTTTAATTAATGCTGCATTAAAATAATCTGTGATTTTAATGTGATGTGTGTATAGAAGCATTTCCCAACTTCAAAACCCACATACTTCATTCTTGACTCCAACTGTACCAGACCTAGACATCTCTCACCTAATTTCTCTGTTATAATTGACCAGTCCTTTCTCTCTTTGATCACTAATTTGGTGAAATAAGACTGTAATGCAATGATCCCTTGAAACATGGTGATCTAATCAGAATATTTTATATTTTCCCATGTTTTACTTGTCAAGACTTAATTCTGACATGTAATAAATATAGTATTTCAGCTTTAAGAGGCAGAGGAGGGGAATTTCATTGAAATTGGCTCATTAATATTTATTTTATCTTCAGAGTGACTCATGAACTGTTTCAGGTTTTGATAAGCAATTAATGCATCAGTGACTCTAGCAGACAGGCAAGTGACTCTGCGAGCAAGCAAATAATGGTTTGCTTAGGCACACAGCAGTCTGCAGTTTTAAAAGAGAATTTCATTACTTTTTGTGAGTTTTAAAGAAGTGAACAGAAAAAAAAATTAAATGTTTGGAAGCATCATATATAATTATGCAAGTGTTAATGTGACAATCTATGGATTATCCTGCTTAATGATACATGTAGTTGTGCAGTCTTTTTATTCATTCATGGCTATGTTTGTGTAAATAACCACATGTAAAGGATTTTTTTCTAACACTTTGCAGGACTATTTAAATCTGATGTATATTAATGTTCTAAGCTCTGTGTGGTGTTGAAAGAACACTAATGTCTATATAGCATTGCTTCCTTTTACAAAATTCTCTTTTTGTAGTAATTTACAGCTTGTTCCCTTTTCTGCTTGGGTCAGCAGAGCACTGTCAGCTCTGTGTCCATCTGGAATTTGTCTTTCCCTTTCTTCTTACTGTTCTAAAATCGCCTTTAATTCTGCCTCCCACAGCTCTGCTCACTGACAAATAAGTGTAGCACCTGTTCATCATCTCAATACCTGTGCATTGTTTGATGCTATTCTGCAGAATCTAGTGGAGATGTGTGGGCTGTGCAATTATTCATGTATTTCTGTATTTTCACACCTACATATTGCCATATATTTAATGCCACTTCTGTTCCTGAAGTCTATATATGTCCATTTATTGCTCAGTGCATAGTGTACCCTATACTTTTTAGCTGGAACAGAAATTTTTTATTAAACTTCTCTGTGAATGCTTGTGCAGATATAGTGTAATTGCAGTTTAAGAGAGCTGCGCCATACAAAACAAGAACAACTGCATTATTAGGATAATCTGAAGAAGAGTGTAGGTAGTTCTTACACACTGGATAACAGCTACAAGTGCCCATTGATACAGAGCACCTTGCAGACTTATCCTGTGCTTCTTTTTTGGCCACATGCTGGAGTTGTCATATGAAGGTCTCTGAGCTTGTGTGTAGCCAAGAAAATCCCCACAGAGGGCACTGTACAGCCTGATGAATGCACAAGAACTTTATGGCACGTTTAAACCGTACATACATGTAAAAAACCCCAAACCAAACCGATACACTACAACAAACCAAAAACCAAGCAAACAAAAAACCCATGGAGATCTGTTTGCAAGTTATAATAAATTGTTTCATGTCACCCCCTTTCTATTATGAAACCACTGTCAGTGTTAAGACAGAAGGACAAAGAGAGATTTCAGCAAGATACACAAAGTTTTGGTGTGGCTAGAGCCTACTATCCCCAGCGTAAGGGCATTTTTGCACTCCCTTTATGTATGGATTAATGTCACAGCCCCGGGCCATGGAACACACACTCCAGTGTCACTTACAGTGAGATTCAACAGCAGTTTAATCCAGTGTCACCCTGGATTGCCCAAGTCCTGCTCTGGCACCATCCTCAGCTCTCTGTTCCCACCTTTGTGCTTCCATCCATGCCTGCTGCCCTGGCAGCTGAAAGTTAAGCTGGTTGAGGGAGTGTCTGTGCTCTTAGCCAGAGTTTTGTTTTACTGTTCGAAGACTTGTGCTGCCACGCATTGGGTAACCTGTAAGGGAGAGGTTCATTGGGGTGGAAGAAACAGAGAACCTGAGAGAAGAGGAAAGTGGTCTGAGGTCAGTCAAAAATGAAGAAAAAGGGGAAAGGAAAAGGAGAAAAGAAAAAGCTTAAATTTCATAGGGCTTTATAGTTAAATCTTCCTTGCAAAATTTGCATACCAGTTTTGTTCTTGATTCCCAAAAGATCAATGGTGTCTGAGTTTAATATTGAATAAAAGAGATGAAAAGGAATATTGATCAGTTGTTCATTGGATATTCTGAGCACTGATGATTTTGGGATCTGAAGGAAAATGAACTATGTGACCATGATACTAAAAGATACGTATGCATATAAAAATGAGGGATTCAGAAACAAAAAACCAAACAAAAAAAAACCAAAAAAAAACCCCTCCAAAACAAAACAAACAAACAAACAAAAAAACCACAAAAAACCCCAAAACAAAACAAAACAAAAATCTGGCATTTTCTTATTTTGGAAGTGAGAAATCTGTACTACAGGTTTGGTAAAATTTTTCTATGTGTTTTTATATGTAATATAAGCCTACAAAAATTCAGAAAGGGATTTTCAAAAGTGCTATGTCTTCACTGTGTTGTAAGAGATTTCCAAACAGTTGGAGACAAGAAAAATACCAAAATTGTGGAAGCTCTCAAGTCCATTCTTTTCAGTCTAATCCTGAAAGAATAAGTTATGTATCTTCTAAAACATGGGCATAATTATATTCTATTAAGAGGGACTTTTGTCTTGGTGTTTTTTTAATCACCTGTCTAATACTGGAAAGAAAACAAGGTCTTTCTTGTGGCATAGAATGCTAGCAGAAATAAGAATTTAATAGCTCTTCTGACTGACAAATAAGAATTTAATTTTTGTCCTGGGTATTTTTGCTGGAATTGACTAGCTATAAACAGCCAGAATTGCTATAATAAAGTGATACCTATAAAGAGAGTAAGAAGGATGATACAGGAAAATACAGGTCAGTCAGCCTTACCTCCATCCCTGGAAAGGTGATGGAGTAACTAATCCTGGAAACTATATTTGAAACAAATAGAAAAAAAGTTGATTGGGAGTAATGGTTAACCTACTTGACTTCCTTAATAGGACAGCCAGGTTGATAGGATATGGGTAGAGCACTGTATATTACTATAAGTACCTATTGTGGCTTTTTTGTGACTGAAATCAGTGTTTATCCAATAACAAGAAGATACCTGCTACAGCATTTAACATAAAAATCGTGGCAACCACAACTCAGAGCATTTTGTGTGTTGGAATGGCAGTTGTATGCCTAATGTTGCTGGGTTATCCTCAAAACTGGTGTTCTTTTCCAGTGCAATTGTTGTCCTTTTTTTGAATGTGTAGAAACAGGGCTTGAAATCATGCACAGAATATTGGCAGAGGCAATAATACATGCATAGTT